TATGCTGAAGAAGCATGATTATAAAAGGTTCAGCCTTCAGTGTACATGAAAAAAGATGTTAGACAGAAATTTGCACAGTTAACACAGGTCATTTACAAAGTTGTCTTTCATAAAATTGTGTGCTATATGATTATTTCTTCTTTCTTTCCCATAATTATTTGAAAAATTTGCTGCCTTGCTTGACAAAAAAACCCAGGAAAGTTATTGGAATGGTACTATGTTATACAGAACCTTAGCAACAATGGACAGATTATTAGCTGTCAAATTAATATGTTTCATCAAGCTACTGTACTTACGTGTGTGTGTGTTTAATTCTGTAGATGTCTGAAAGTCATACTTTATGATTCTTTGTAATGGAAATCTATTAATGATCTCTATTCAGTCATCAGTTTAATAGGATTCACTAATTGTTCCAAATTGTATTAATGTGGATTAAGACATTATTAGTCAATATTAATATTCAATGAAGCCATGGGCTGAAGAACATTCTTGTACAAGTAGGCAGTGACTTGTCATGGCTTCCAAGGCTAGAGTCTTATTTGGGAAATTCTTGTGCTATTCAAATATTTATCTACTCCATTCTGCCCTTCCTCCATGGAGATTTGGCTAAGATATATGGTTGTCTTCCACCCACTTTATTTTCATAACCTTGAGAAGTAGGATAGGTTGAGAAATAGTGATTGCCCCAGAGTCATCTCATAAGTTACTCAGCTTCATGGCTGAGTGGGGGTTTGAACATGGGTTTTTCAATTCTAAGGGACTGTAAATTTCTAATACCATCTTGCTTTTATATACATTTATGGCATGGTCATGTTTGAAATACCATGTACAGTTTTGATGCAAAATAGATGTGTGTGTGTGTGTAAAGAGAGATTGATAAAGGCATGCATATTCGAAAAACAGAGTGAAGGACAGAGGTAAAAACAAATGAACTAAAAGTATAAGCAGTTCAGGCAAACCTCACACCCTCAATTCCTGAATTAATTTTAGAATCATCCAAGGTAATCAAAAATTTGGGTGGGATAAAATGATGGATAGAGTGAATCAGAGGAACAATAAAGGACATTTTTCTCTTCACTTGGAATGTAAGTGAAGCTGAATGATGAGAGACCTCTCCGTCCTAATGAACATAGTTCAATGATGGGATTTATTATCACAAAATGTATCAGTTGTTATCATCCTGTAGAGTTTTAAAGGGGGATTAGAGAAATTCATGGAGGATAAGCCAATCAATGTTTGGAAGTCATTGTGGCTGTACATTACCCTACTCCAAAAGCATTATGCCACTCAATAGGCTGAGGAGCATGAAGCCCTATTACACTACTCAATTATAGCACTATGATGCCATTTCAATTGCCATGGTAACATCCTATGGAATCCTGGGATTTGCAGTGGAGTGAGGAGTATTTAAAATTATCTGACAGAAAGCTTTAATACCTCCCCAACCTACAAATTCTAGTATTCCATAAGATGTAGCTATACCAATTAAAGTGGAATCATAGTATTATAATTGTGTAATGTGAAAGGGCCTCAGGTGGAGCCTTTCACAAGGATGTTACCATGGCAGTTGAAATCACTTGGTGTTTGTAAGCTTACTATAGGCATCCAGCCAGCTGTTGTGGTAACATTTTATACAACAGGCCTTTGGTCTGATCCAAAATATCTCTTCTTGACATTTTTATGTTCTTTTTACACATTCATCTGGCTTTAAAAAAAAAAAAAACTACATCTGGCTAATGTGAGGCAGCTCAGAACTCTGCTATTTGGTGGTTTGTTGTTTTATTGACTTTGTTTTTGTTTTGTTTTTACATTTTGCTGAAATATGATACACTGTTGTTTGTGATAGGTGCATAATATACATCCCTAAACCGAATGGTATTATTTTATCAAGTATTCTGATAATAATGAATAATAATATCTGTGTGGGGGGTTTTTTTTGCTTGAAGGGAAAGCTACAACTTATGCTTCATAATACCTCCCACATACCAAAGGTGGTTTAGATTGGATCACCTCATAGCTGATAACCTCCTTGCTGTTAAATCTGTAACTGATCTCTAGCTTCCAGTTTCTTTTTCTTTTGCCCATAGAATGAAAAAAAGTTCATTTGTACATGGCCTTACCATTTTTTGCATTCTTCCATCTCCCCAGCAATGTAACTAGAGGTAGATATAAGTGTTTATGCAAATGCTAATTAAAATATAATTATTGCATCACTCACCTGAGAAACAACATATGGCATGGAGTGAGCTACAAATGCAAAGGCTTTTAAAAATCCATTTAAAAGATTAATTCAAATGCATGTTCCAAAAATTATTTTAAAAGCCTGCATGTGAATGTTGTTGTTTACCTATGAAATAAATGGTAAATTAATGCACATTGTAAAATTAGATAAAACAAAATAGCCTCATTTTAAACAAATTAAAAATATATTTACAAAACTGATAGTATGGAAAATTGCACAGAATCATGGGAACACCAGGAGCTTTCCTACACTGATATGCACCATTGGTCCATTCACTTCAGTATTGTCTACACCAGTGTTACTCAAAATGGTGGCCCATGGACAAGTTCACAAACCATGAGTTCCTGGTCTGTGACAAGTTTTCAGGAAAGAAAGAAAGAAAGTTTATGTTCTGTCAATGATGACATGTGGTGCTACCCTGCTTTTTCTCATGCTTGACCATTGGTGGATACAAACAAGCTTTTAGTTCAAAATCTTAATTCTTCATCTTTGGGCTGTACAAAATCAATCTATACCAGGACAAGGAGGTTAATATAGATCAGGGTGGGCAACTACATATAAAGGGATGGCAGGAATTTTCACCCAACTTGCCTCCTATCATACCATTTCTGGACTTTTTTCCATTGCTTTGGGGAACTTTGGGTCCTGGGGAGCTGCTAAACTGACCCATTTCCAATTTCAGGACATTTGTGGCCATTTTCAGATGAAAAGAAAAAATACCCTAAAACTGCCTTCAAGATTTTTTTTTTTGTTTGCTTGTTTTAATCACTGGTTCAGGGACCCTGGGATCTGTTGAGAACTTCAATGATGCAAAAGTAGGGTTCAAGGACTGCATGCAGGCCACAATCTACACTCTCCCCTCTTTTCTTATGACTCCCATGGCAATCCTATTCTTTGTATTGCTACCAGGAGAGTCAGTCATGTTGATTAAAAAAAACTAATTCAACGGATGAGCATCTAAAGGACTCACAGGACGCAATGTAGGACTATGGCTAGCCTGATTCCTTTAGGTCACTATGCTAGTGTAAAACATAGTTGTACAAGTGAATTCAACTTCTCAATGGTTGTGCAAATGCAGTGCCTAATGCACCCAGTCTTTCCACAAGTGTGCACATGCAACCCTCTCTCACACTTTTGACTTGAGGCTATTACTACACAGTAATAGCACTACGATTCCACCTTAGCTGCTCTAGAGTGTGCAGTTTAGAATTCCCAGCCAGATGTCACTAACAGCCTAGAAAGGAGAAACCACAGGATTTTGAAGTCAAGTGGAATCATAGTGTTATTATTGTGCAGTGTGAAAGTGGTCCAGGTTAGTGGGCAGCTAATCATTTGTTTCACAATGCTCAAGTCATTGGCACTGTGTAATTCAGTGTAGCTATGCTGGATTATTTTTATGTTGCACTAAAAATGATTAGGAACTGTTCAGAGACAGAATTCTAGTTCATAGTAACCAGCTCATTTGATAAATAAAGACTGAACTAGTCATGCAAGAAGCATTGATGGGCATTTCAAGGCATTTAATTAATGAGAGCAGCAGAAAACCAAGATCTTCACTGTATTTTGTATTTTGTATTTTGTATTGTATTTTATGTTGTGAACCGCCCAGATTGGGAAACCAGAGGGCGGTATATAAATAAATTTTATTATTATTATTATTATTATTATTATTATTATTCACTGAGAAACAATGGTAATTGCTATTGCTGTTTTGAACCATCATTATTCAAGATCACTTTAGTACAGCAAAGCCAAAGAACAGTAAGGACTAAATCTTTGCTGCCCTTCTGAGCAAAATATCTACAATATCTTCCAGTTTCCCCTCCCAACCGTTTCATGGCTAAGGAAAAGAAATCAACACTGAACTGTTCTTTATTCTACATTAGGAAACCAGACCAGTATTTCAACCTGCTTCTGCATCATGTAGTTAATGTTCCTTATAGACAAATGTGTAATTAGGGACTCTGTTCTATATTGCACTGAAGTAATTTGTTTAAAATCCTGTTGGTTAGCTTAAACTAGGGTAGACCCACTGAATCCATTGTTGAGTGGTGAGTCAACACATAGTGAAATATAACTGATTTAATGGCTCTATATTCTAGTTTGAAGTAATAGTAGGATTGAGTGGCATGTCCACACCAGTCAAATAAAGTGGTTTCATGAGAAGCCAAGGCCTTGTGGTCATACTTTCTATAATTTATCAGCACAGTGTGTTTGAAAGGGAGAACTGTGTAGAGAATTTTCCTGAACTTGTCTTGGTGTGTGTAAACAAGCCTGTTGTCACTGAGGATTGGGGTAAACCAAAGGTAAGCTAGATTTTCCTATCAGTGTAGATGCACTCTAGGTTAATATGTGTTTGTCATGGATATGTACATATTTAATGCATATGTTTACAGCCATGTTTATGCCATGTATGTGTTGTTGTTGTTGTTGTTGTTGTGTGCTTCCAAAATATTTTTGACTTATGGCAACCCTATCATAGGGTTTTCTTGGCAAGTTTCTTTAGAGGGGTTCCTTTCTTCTGAGGCTGAGAGAGAGTGACTTACCCAAGGTTACCCAGTAGGTTTTTATACTTGAGCAGGAAATCAAACCCTGATCTCCAGAGTTGTTGTTTTTGTGTGCCTCCAAGTCATTTTTGACTCATGGCAACCCTATCATAGAATTTTCTTAGCAAGTTTCTTCAGAGGAGGGTTTCCATTGCTTTCCTCCAAGGCTGAGAGAGTGTGATTTGCTCAAGGTCACCCGGTGGGTTTTTATGCTTCAGCAGGGAATCAAACCCTGATCTCCAGATTTGTAGTCCAACACTCAAGCCACTATGCCATGCTGACTCTCTATGTATATGTTACCTTTTCACATATTCAGAAGACATATTAAAAGATTTAGATGCAAATGTAATGTGCAATGTTTGTAATTCAGCGGAACCTCCATTTCTAAACCAGTTTACAATCAAATTCCAGAAACCCAAAGTATCAAGATTTTAGACAGGCTATTATGTAATACTTACCATTTCTTGTCTTTCCTGTCAACATGAACATGTCTGTCCCATTTCTATATATTTGTCTGTTCAAATAGCTGGTATACATCATAGAGTACAATAGATTCAGAGTCAGAATTTCTTCAGAAGCAAACCAACAAACAAAAAGTGCACTTGAATTCTGGTGAAGCTGATTTGTACTTTTATGTTGATATATGTGGATTCAGGTGGAATTACATTGGCATAAAATTGAGAAAACACGCTGGCAAATCATGCCTCCAGGTTACCTCTTAAAGCTGTGTTATGTATATGGATGAAGAAGTGCTGAATTCTTAGATACGTTATAGGTTAGGATAAAAGTACATAGTTCCATTTATTTCAATGCTGCTATGATGCTTTGTACAAGGTGAGGAAATAGCTGAGCATCAGGCAGGAGGGTGCGTGTATACCCATGCACACTTGCTGCTAGCCACTAGTCCTTATCAGATAATTGCTAAAGAGTAAACTATTTCCTGTATCTTATTTTAGCAGCTTGCCAAGGATATTTAACATGCTCTAGGACAGCTTACATTGAGTTCGAGGTTGGGTGTTGGCAATGCAGCCCCCTTTTTAGAGTGAATGCTTTGTCTTATGCATTGCAAATAAGTATTTCATTTGCACTTCAGTTGAAAGCATTTATTGTACATTGAGAATCAATTGACTGCTACAAGAACCCTTTTTATGATTTAATCCATTCAGAAGAAAGGCTGGTTGCTATCACACCATTCTCAAAATGGCATAAACAATCAATGTAAAACTTAATATATTATTAGCTGTGCTATGTGAGTACCTAATTGACATGGGACATGATATATAGATGATATTAGCTCTCAATTTGCATTCCCCTGAAATGTCAATACATGCTTTAATTAATTTATTCTTTCATGAATTAATTCCAATCAGATGCCCCAATGCCACATTATTAAATGACAATTACATGACTAAAGAATTGTTTCAGCTTTTATATGGGATAGACACAGCTCAGTATCCACAAAGTATGCAAATTTGACTGAAGTGAATTGAAGAAGCACAAGAACAGACATTTAAGTAATCTATGTACAGATGTCTATGAGAAATGGCACAACATGCTCAAGTATAGGAACATATCATGTCTCTCCCTAGTAAGATTCCAGATCTCAGGGCCTAGCTCATCTCCTTCAGTTTTTGGGGTGAAGGGAAGAATCTCAGGGCAAGAACATTGCCTAGGAAAAATGTTTCAACTGTGTGCTGCTGCCCCTGTTGTTGAAACCTGCATTGAAATGGCTACTGTAGACTCTCCTGAGACCTGGTATTCTCTCCTTCTCTTTATTTCATTTCTAAGACTTATGGTTCTTTTTTTGAATGTCATTCTTTGAACAACTGCATGCGATGCTTAATATATCATGTTCAATGACATCACCTCACCCTTTGTAATATCAGCAGGCACTGTCTCTACATATCAGATTTAGGGCTGATGCAGATGGCCAAGAAGGGGCGGCTCTGGGCCTGAGAGAGACGGATTGTGGCTGCGGCAACCATATGCTGTGGCTCCAATCCTCCTTTTTGCCACCCCCCAAAGAGCAGCAAAATGCTGCTCTTTTTTGGGGCAACAAAAGGCCGCCCTTAGAGCCGCTGCCGCTGCTCTTTTGTGCCCCTTTGCACAGCATGTGAGTACATTGTGCCAAAGAGCACCCTGAAGCCGTGCACTGTGTGGATGGGTGTGTGGCATTGGGGCAGAGTTGGGACAGAGTTGATTGCCCCACCCCTACTCCACTCCCATGTCTGCCTAAACTGCCAATCTGCATCAGCCCTTAGTCTGTGAAATTGCATAGCAATAGCATTTACATTTCTATATTGCTTAATAGTGAACTCAGCACTCTCTAAGTGATTTACAATCTATAAGCCAATTGCCCCCAACAAGCTGAGTACTCACTTTATCGACCTACGAAAGGATGGAAGGCTGAGTCATCCTTGGATCCATGGGATCGAACTCACAATATTGCTGCAGTACCGAAATTTAACCACTGCACCACCAGGGCTGTGAAATCTCAGTTCTGGGATCCTCTTGGTTTGGCAGCCCTGCTCCTGGCTTTTTTGTGCAACAAGATTGCACAAGCACAACAAAAGGCAAGCATTTTCACACTGAACTAGACAATTCTAATATCAGTTACAAATGGGTGGAGACAAGGTTTGCTAGAATGAAAACAGGGGAGAAACTGAGGGCTCCTATACCTTAAATGGTTGTGTACATGCTGCTTGTCATGTAACCTGTGTGTTATGCAACCAGGTAAGAAGCAATATCTACTGAAATGTCTGTTTCCACACAACCATTAAAAGTATAGGGATGCTCTCCAGTTTTCACTCTGGCGATCTCATGGGAATAAATGTCTATACTTTAAAGCGAGCTCATATATAAAAGTGTCAGAACCAGCAAGCTCTATTCCTAATGTACAGACAAACAGTCTTATTGTGATGAAAAACAAAAGGTTTTTAGTGAAGACATCAGGACAGACGTTACCAGCAAAGCATTTGCGTCAGAACTGAATGGTCCCCCCACCTACGATGGTATTAAAACTCAAGCTATCCAATCCCAGCCCCAGTTACTGACCTTTCAACTTTGTTCCCAAACAAAGCAAATTCTAAGAATCCCCTTATCACCCATTTGTTCTCCTACACAGCATTCCTAGCTCTACCATTCTACTACAATAAAGGGAAGAAAAATAAACCTCCTTCACATACCTGAACCAAATGCCATCTCCAGAATCATAAAGCCATAAATCCCTTCACTCTACATACCATTTTCCCACTCTGCAATTTGTCTAGCCCCCACTCCCTTCCACCTATATACCACCAGGCCCACAACCCAAGGCTCTATGCTTCTCATATACAAAACCAATACATGACCAATACATACATCCTTTACAATATTCAATAACAATCATGACGGAATCATAACCATGAATTTTGACAAAAAGTCAAACTTTCTTTATCTCCAGTGTTGCTAACCCTGATCTTTATCTGCCCATGTGGAGTCCATAGGAAGCATAGAAATTACCGAAGGCTTCAGCCAGTATACTGTATATAAAGCAAAGCAAAGCAGCTTCATTTATATACCACTTCATATCACGCTATGGGATGTCTAAGTGGTTTACAACTGTAAGCTGACTGCCCCCCAACAAACTGGGTACTCATTTTAGCGACCTTGGAAGGATGCAGGCCTGAGTCGAGCCTCAGCCCTGGCTGGTATTGAACTCTCAACCTTGTGGTCTATGAGTGAGTGGCTGCAGTACAGGCATTTAACCACTGCGCCACCAGGGCTGATATATACTCATGTATGTCTAGAAATTTTAGTAAAAAAAAAATTGGTGCCAAAAACCTGAGTCGACTTTTCCACTGGTCAATATAAGTACTGTACTTTAACTCTTATTTTTAAAAAAGGGACCATCCCCTGGTGTAAAGCAAGGGAATAATCTGTCCTGGAAGCACTGGTCTCCCTCTATTCACTCATCCACCCAGTCTTTAGAATGAGCACAAATAGTTATGCCTGCTGGAATTTTGTAAGTTCTTTGGCATTGTTTTCCTTTGCTTCATCTTTTAGATCCTTAGTTACAAGCCCCTAAGTTGTATCATGGGTCATATCAAAATCCATAATTTTGACCTCAAAACCTGCCCTCAACTGATATATGAGACTGACTTATAGTTGAGTATATACAGTAAGCCTACACCCAGACCACTTCTTTTTTAATAGTCATAACTGAATCTTGTCCAGAGTCTGTTATGAACTCTTGTTATTCTTAATATACAAGGGGACAGAAGACTGGTACTAAGGAGACACTTCTCCCCAGTCCACTCAGCACAAAGACTGTCTTGTCCTACATGGAGGAGGCCCTTCAGATGATGAAATGGTGAAAGTAAGACCAGAGGAGAGGCTCCAGTCAAAGCTAGAAGAGGCTGGCAGTTCTGCCTTGGAGCTAGATGAAGCTGGTAGTCTGCCCTGGAAGCAAAGCCTGGACCAAAACTTGCTGACCTTGGGAAAAAAAGTTGGAGGTTATTTTGTGGGTTTTTTC